TGAAACTAAATGAAATTATAAAAAGGAAACTAAAGCTGCATATTCAATAGAAAAAGTGTGAAATGCACTCCAGAAATAGAAAAGATGATCAAGAAATACCAAGATGAAATTTCAATTGTGAAGGATTCCTGGAGCTAGGGGAAATAGAGCCTCTGCCTTTAATTTATGGAGGAGTGTGCCAGTGATGGCCTTCTGTAATCTGCACCATCTGTATCATTGATTAACGAGGTCAAGGGCAGGATTACTCACTGTTGGTTTTCTCCCAGGAGCCCTGTTCTAGTCTCTTCGCCAAAGTGACTTCTCAGTCTTCCTTGCAGCCATTTTGCAGAGCGCTAAGGAAGCATTGTCTTCTCATCGGTGCCTCCCCTGCTCTGAGTTGGGAGACACCTGCCAACAGATGACAGAGAGGCTCCCAGTTTGATGCAGAAGTGCTAACATGTCCCTCTCTATCAATAAATATGTTCAGGATCTGAGCCAGATGGTTGCTGACCCCCATGTAAAGAAAAAAGACCCTTCACCGAGAAGCAAAGGGAATGCCTTAGACCCCACGTCCCCCAATCTGTGGAAAAGTGAAACATTCAGACACAGAACAATGAGCTGTGTTGGTGTTTGTTTGTTTTAACCAACCAAACTAGCTAAACAGAGGAGTTTCCGGTTTGTTTAACGGACTCTCTTGCTCCTGGAATATGTCTATACCGTGTCCATGTCTACAGTCTTTATGGCAACTCCTTTCTGCTTTGATTACTTGCCCTGAATCTTTTTAAAGCAGAATGTTTTTTTTAATTTTTTTTAACATTTATTTATTTTCAAGAGACAGAGAAAGACAGAGTGAGAGTGGGGGAGGGGCAGAGAGAGAGAAAGATACAGAACCGGAAGCAGGCTCCAGGCTCTGAGCTGTCAGCACAGAGCCCGATGTGGGGCTCGAACCCACCAACAGTGAGATCATGACCTGAGCTGAAGTCTGACACAACCGACCAAGCCACCCAGGCGCCCCTAAAGCAGAATGGTTTTTTTAATTGAGCTGTGGTCACTGCTTTTTTGTCTCCCACCTTCAGCTCTTCCCTCCTTTGGCTACCATCTCCAAAACACCTACCTAATGACTTAAAGTCATGGAGAAAAGATCTCTGTGGGAGGCAGTAATGAATCAGTGTGTGCTTTCATTGCTGCCTGCAGGGAGGCCTTGTGCCGGAGTGTGCAGGGACAGAGGCTTGAGACCCAGGCTTCCTGGGTTCAGATCGCAGCTCTTCCCCACTGCTACTAGCACCATCTTGCCCAGATTGCTGGCCATCAAGGGTGACAGTGACCCTTCTTATCAGTGACTATAGGATTGGATGACATAACCATTCCCAATGCCTGTATTTGCAGGAAGTGTCAGGTAAATATCTGCCATGGTAATGAATGGTGATCACAGGAAGGTAAGGTAGAGGTAGACAGGAGGTCATGGTCACAGCTCTCAATACAGACATCACGGACTCCTCAACGATGCTCTATTAATTCCCTCCAGGGTACGAAAAGAAATTCTTCTCTGGTTTGACTCCTTACTTGTCTTTTGGTCATCCCTTCTATAGAAAAAAAATTGGTTTTGCTCAGGTGTGGGCTCTGAATCTGAAGCTAAATTTGATGGTGGTCTAGTGATTGAAAGCTGTTCTGGAGGATAAATGAACCACTTTTCAACTAGAGTTGGCATTTAGGCCTGATGCAAGATGTATTTCTTGCAGCACATCTAAGTGGGTAATTTGTATCATACTTTCTTAGGTTTTAATTTTTATTGAAGTCATATATGCAAAGAGCTGAAAGAGGCAACCAATTCTAGAAAGCTTATTATGAAAGATAGCTCTCGTCCAATCCCACCAGCACCAATTTCCCACCTTTTTGAGTCAACTGTGTTTTGCTTTGGGTTTTTTTTTTAAGTTTATTAATTTATTTTTAGGGAGAGAGAGGGGGAGACAGAGAATCCCAAGCAGGCTCTGCGCCATCAGCATAGAGTCAGGCGTGGGGCTTGAACTCATAAACCATAGGATCATGACCTTAGCCAAAGTCAAGAGGTGGACGCTGAACCAACTGAGTCACCCAGATGCCCCAAGGCAACTGTGCGTTTTAAATGATGTACATTAGATGTGCAGCATAGTGATTGGTGGGGCATATCCTCCAGCAGCCTTTGAGAAAGGGTACACAGGAAGTAAATTTTCTGAGACAATTTAGCTTTTTATTTTTATGCTTCTCTCGCTTTTAATGAATAGTTTGGTCGGGCATAGAATTTCAGGCTAAAATCATTTTCCTCTCTAATTTTAAAAGGCGTCACTCATTGTCTTTTAGTTTTCAGTGCTTTTGTTGAGAAATAAAATGTCATTCTGGTTTTGATCCTTTGTATGTAATCCCATTACTCTCTTTCTAGTGGTTTCTAGGACCTTTCCTCTGTGCCAGCACTCTGAAAACTCATAATGATATGCCTCAGCGTACATCGTTTTCTTTCTCTTTCTTTTTTTTTTTTTTTTTTTTTGTCCATTGTGATGAACACTCAGGAGGCCGTTTTACTCAGAAAATGCCCATCCATAACTTCTGGGAATTTTTCTTTAATTACTTAATTTGATTATTTTCTCTCTCCTCTATTTTCTGGAACTTATGTTCTTCATGCCAGGTTTCCTGTTTCCATTAAGGTGAAGGAGGTACCTCACCTCACTACTGGTCTGCTTGAAGTGAGTGAGGAAGTTTATGGATTAAATGATTAAATAGCTTTTCAGTGTCCCTGTTTTCAGACCCTCCTTTCTTCCCACTTCTAGAGCTCTGCACATGGCCTAGCTGAGTGGCCCACTGTTCTGCTTTCCAGCATCCAAAATTTTGTTGCTCTGATCAGCTCTTATATACTCTTTCCCTTGGGGGTCTATCTTGCAAAAAAGAAAAAAAAAATCCCTTTACTATTACCTTGTCCTGTTATAACAAGAAAGAGCAAAGGTCATGGTATGTGTCCACAATCTGTGAGCTATAACTAAAAGCCCAAGTGATTTTTTTTAAGTAAATTCAGAATTGATATTTGCCACATGTTTTAAGTTCATTTTCCTAATCATCATACATTGAATCAACATTCACAGCATTTTATGACCTGCTGGAAAATGGACAGTCCAGTCCCCTGTACGGCATTCCATAGATGAGCATAGATGCTAATGGGTACACTGTACAAGAGGAGAGGATGATAAAAGGGTAAAGAAGGGGTGCCTGGGTGGCTCAGTCGGTTAAGCATTTGACTTCAGCTCAGGTCGTGATCTTGAGATTCATGGGTTTGAACCCCACGTCAGGCTCTGTGCTGACAGCTCAAAGCCTGCAGCCTCCTTCAGATTCTGTGTCTCCCTCTCTCTCTGCCCCTCCCTTGCTCGTGCCCTGTCTCTCTCTTTCTCTCAAGAATAAATAAACATTAAAAAAAGTTTTTAAAGGGGTAAATAATACTTTACATTTGTTCTGAAGTGATTTCTGTGGCATGAGTCCTTTTCTTGACAACCCCATCATCTGGAACTTAGATCTGCAAATACAAAGCCTAATAAGGCAAAATCAGCACCAGAAAATACCTAAGTGTCCCTATAACAAGTGAAAGAATGTGTTCATGGAAAGAGACTGGCCTCATTACTCATTTATGGTTCTATTTAAGTCATTCTTTCATGTTATTTGAATCCTTTTCTGGTTTGACTTTGCCTGATCTTTTCTTTATAGACTGACACAGTAGTCAGGGAGAGAGGAGGCTCCAAATGTGGCCCTGTCCCTGAATCCCTTTTTCTATTGTCTTTGGTGCAGCGTGTGCCTGTCACTGGCCCGGCTGACAGCTGACGTTTGCTGTGTCCTTATTCACGTACGAGGCCAAGGGCAAAGGCAGCTAGACATGTCCTGTGGCCATGGGGTGGCTGACACTTGTCTAGGGAGGCAGGAGGGAGCTATGAATGACAGCCCAGGAAGCACGTCCGACGCATCTCTCCAGACTGTCCCAGGTTCTTTGTGAGAGTCAAAATGGACCTGCTCCACAAAGCAGAGAGAAAATAGCCTGCATCCCTTAAAAAGAGACTTGGAAGGGCTTACCAAGGAGAAATGACTTTTCCTCCGGGACAGGGATCCTGACCTAGCGTCTGCAGCTCCCCCCTTGCCCGCAGCTGCTCCTCCCCATGGCCCAGCTGCGGCTCCATTGCCCTCCTTTGTCTCACCCAGGGGCTTTCTTCTCCTGCAGGAAGTCTGGGAGCAGCGGGTCAGGGCTGCCGTAGCCCCCAGCAGTGTGTCTCCTGGCCTCATCCCACAGCAGAGCCATTGTATCCTTAGAGGGACATTGCCCAACTGCCGAGAATAATGTTTTCTCTAGATAAATATGCAAATCGACGTTTTAAAAATTCTGATGAAACCAGGAGTCAGGTGCCGACAAGGACAGGCATGTAATAGAGGTGAGAGGAGAGGGTAGCAGACTGGGCTTTTCCAGGCCCCTTCTGAAGGGCACCCGCTGCCCAGGCCTGGGGCTCACTGTATACAGGAGCATGGGCTGCAGCAGACACTAGAGCATTGACAAGGACACAGAGTAGGTTGCTCTAACGTCCCCTTGGCATAAGGGATGCTAAGGCTGGTGGGTTCCTGGGAGACACGGGTCTTTGAGTCAGCTTTGCCGAGCCTTCCCCACGCTGCCCAGCAGCCTGGAACACGTCCCCCCGACCTTCCCTCTCTCCTTCACAGGGGTCACTCCTACCTTTGCCCTGACTCCCTCCCCGTTTTCTCACGTGAGTGTCTCCCCCTCACAGAATTGTTGCAGGTTTGATCCTATCTTGGAATCTGCCTTTCAGAAGATCCAGACTAATATGCCCAAAGGCCTTCAGTAAATTCATATCACCGGACAGATTGACTGGGACCAGCACGGGAGACAGAAATACTTGGTTGTATTTCCAGCTTATCACTGGCCAGAGCCACCAGGAGCCAGGCTTTCTCCTTTGTGCTGTGGAATAGCCTGTTGCTTACTGTCTTTTCCCCCTTCCCTTCAGGTTGTGGCTCTTTCCTCGTGGTGCCTGCTGAGGGATTCGATTTACTACACGCTGTCTGTGGTCGCGCTCATCGTGGTAAGTGTGGGATGCACATCTCACCTGAATCCCTTGCTGTTTCTCTTCCTCGTCCTTCTCACCACTCGGGGTTATATGCAGCTCCTCCGCATGGAGTAAGTTCAAGGTCTCTGGTGATGAATGAGCGAATGGATGTCTATGCATGGAGGTGGCTTTTCTTTCTTCCAGCTACTTTGATCACCCAGAACCCCAGCATGATAGTTTGGTGCTCACAACAAGAGATTTGACTGACTCTGGTTATCTGGTTCCATGAGAGTCCTCTGCTGTTTCCCTGTGATCCCCTGACCACTGCCTCTCACTTTCTCATGGTCTCCTCTGTAACTCTCTTCAGCGTCAGTGTCCCTGGGTTTAGACCTTACTTCTGCCTCTCTGTATGCTCTCCCAGGACAGTGCCCATGGTCATTACCACCTTTGTGCGGACACCTTCACAATATATTCTTGGCAATGGCATCTCTCAAAGGTCCAGTCACGGATAAGCCACTCTGTACCAGACATCTTCTGTCCCAAACCCAACATGTCTCTAAACTTAGGATGACTTCCCCAAGACAGGACCCCCTTTCTAGTATTTCAGCCCCTATTTCTCTCTTAGCCACCCAACCTGAGAATGACTTTAAGTTGACCTTTCTCCCAATTCCACCATATACCCATTTGGCTTAATTGTAGATTTTCATCTTGTAAAAATGTCCTCAGTATGTCCCTTCATAGCCCATTTTACTTGAGGCTCTTTATGTCTTTGGCCTGAACTGATACAGCCCATCGCAGGTCAGTCTTAAAACTAGTAACATCGCTGCGAGCCCCCCTCCTTCACCCCAGGCAGTCCTCAGAGCTGCCTGTACATGCCAGTCCCTTGTGACTCCATGTCACCTGTGGGGACAAATCCAGACCCCTTAGCTTGAGTCATCCAGAAGAAAGGGGGCAAATCAGAAAGACCTGAAATGGAAGCTAGCACATCTGACTTCTAATTGTGGTCCTCTCCCTTCTTGCTAGCTCTAATGACCTTGGAGAAATCAAAGTCTCTTCAAGTCTCAGTTTTCTTACCTACAGAATAGGAATAGATCCACTGAAGGGTTTACTCACCTGTCTACAAAGCACTTCCCTGTAGGTTATTTAATTGTAAATATCTCTACAATTAAGCTAAAAGTGATGTTTAATACAAGGCTTTCTACAAGGAACAAGTAGGTATTTCAGCCAACAGCAGTTCCTGACAGTGAAGATCTTGGGTTTACAACCTCTTTCCAAGGGCCGTTAAACCGTTGGGAGGGTAAAGATCTGACCAAGAGTAGAGAGTTCATTTACACCGCATTGGAATTAGAGACATGCCTCTTCTGTTGAACTTTCAGTTGGTAGACTTAAAGACATGTGTGGATTCTGTGTTCTCATTCTCAGTTATTACCTGTGAGAAAGGTATGATCACCCCAAATCTAGAAGATTCTGCTGTTCACACAGCCCAGACTTCTCAAACACTCGTTGCAGTGAGCTTTGAGCTTTGTCCTGCAACGTAGGAACCCACATTGATCATATGTGCCATTTGCTCAACCGGCCTGTAGGGTAATTTAGGACAGGTTTTGAAAGTTACTGTTTTCAAGAGACATGGCTTGGAGATAGCGCAAATGAATGCAACTCTGTATTTTGCTGCATTTCAGAAAGAGAAGACCATTCCCAGAAAGGCGAGGTGATGAGGCAGAAAGTACAGGCTGAGATTTCCCCAGGGCACAGACTTGGCATGTGCACTCCTGACAGTGAATTGCCCACACTGGCTTCTTTCTCTGTTCTCAGTACAGACACCTCCTGGACTCGATGGGAAGTAACTTGTCTTCAGTCAGATTTATCGGGACATGCCCATGATTTTTTTTTTTTTTAATATAATTGTTGCTAATGATGATGTGTAAAGATGTAAAGCAGTTTTGCTTCTTTGGGCTACGGGTGATGCCCACCCGAGTAGGGTCTTTGGGCCAGCCAGTAATCTGCCTCATGCGTGGCTGTGAATCACAGAGCTGAGCCAGCTGAAATACCCAGGCTGCCGCAGCTCTGTATTTTCCTCAGATGGCTGGCCGCAAGGTGCAAAAGCCAGTGATTCTCTGCTATTCCCTGAAGGTCTATACTGTGTGTTTACAGACCAGATGTCAAGGCTGGAGTTTTCCGATTTGAGAAAAATTACATTTCTCCACTGTTAGAAAGTAATGGCAGAGATAAAGCTTGAGTCCTCAGCGTTTAGTCTTGGCTCTTCTGACTTTTACTGGTGTCCTGCCAACTTCAGTGCACCCTGGAAACACCCAACATTCTTATCTAAAAGGTGTAACTCTGAGATTTCAATCCAGTAGGTTCTGGAGGAGAGCCCAGGAAGTTGAATGTTGGTCACAATCTTCTCTGCCCCTCAGGTGATTCTGATGCATGCTCACCTCAGAAACTCAACTTCAAATGCAGTTGGACACCATTTCCTTGGGATAAGTCCTCTGCTGCCTGGCAGTGATCGCTTCCAGAGGAGATGTTGAGATTCTCAAACACAAGACATCGTGGCAGCCCACTTGTCTAGATTTCTGACTGCTGTTCATTTTTGGGGTCATTTTCACATAAGTCTTAAAACTGGCATAAGGAGTAGAACAGTCATACATAGAAGCATGGCATTTAGCAGAAAGGGTTTCTCAGTGTCCCCAAATCTATTCCATGACCCAGCCCCAGGCTACTGCTCACACCCGCTGTTTTTATCAGGGTTTCCTGTTCTCCTTTTTCTATGTTTCCCCCAATGTCATGGTAACAAAATCACTTTCCTTCTGGCCTTCCTTATATAATATGGGGATCCCTATGGGACCCTGCAGTGGACACTTAAAATTCCTGTATTTAAAAGCTTTCCTCCTATCCACAAATAATTACCAACCATCCGAACAATTTATTTTAACTATTAGGGTTTTTTTTTTTTTAACCTTCTACCCACTCTTTATGGTTCTGAAATGTTCAGAAGACAGAACTCCTGGTCCCCTGGGGGGATGCAATAAAGAGCTCGTTCACCCAGAGGGCAAGTCTGGACTAAGTGGGACCAGATGGCTATTTCTATGTACATCCCAGTGAGAGGCCTTACAGACCCCCGTTCAGAGGCACCCCAAGGACAAACTGTGGGCCCTGGATCCAGACAACAGGAGAGACAGCTTCCACAGGGACGTTTGTGCCGCTGGACCAGGAGAGTGCAGACAGTCGTGATTACCTGGGTCTGAAGCAGCTGAAATGGAAGCTGGCTTGAGAGATGGGTAAGACCAACAAGCAAACACATAGGATCAAGACAAGCATGTACGCACTGAAACCAACAGGGCTTAAGACAGTTAACTAAGAGGGACGCCTGGGTGGCTCAGTCGGTTGAGCGTCTGACTTCGGCTCAGGTCATAATCTCGCGGTGAGTGAGTTTGAATCCCGCATTGGGCTCTGTGCGGACAGCTCAGAGGATGGAGCCTGCTTCAGCTTCTGTGTCTCCCTCTCTCTCTGCCCCTTCCCCACTTGCTCCGCTTTTCTCTCAAAAATAAATAAACATTAAAAAAAAAAAAAAGACAGTTAACTTAGAGACCAGGGACTCGGTTCACTTGGATATTTGGGTTCCATCTACCTTGGCTCTGTGCTATTTTCTGCTTGGCTTGTTGTTGTCTTGAAGGGAGAAAGCAGAAGAAATTAAGAATGTGTTACTGTCAATGGCAGTTATAGTATCAGAAACATTCAGTGTGTGTCTGTCTGCCTTTCCCGCCCCATCAGGCAACTCTCTCTAGCCCTGGTGACATTCCACATAGAGAAGCCTCAGGCCCTGGGGAAGCCGCACGAGGCCCAGAGGCTCACCCCATGACTTGAGTCTCTCTCTGCAAGAGAAGTGTCCCCTCTTAGGTTCTGAAAGCATTCTGGGTTCTTGGTGCATGTCCTTATGTGCATCTGCAAACTCTTACAGACCGTCCTGCTGCATCTGTCCCACGCCGGTGACCCACCCCCAACCGACGTCCATCAGCAGCACAGCTCTGCCTGGCCCTACTTTCTCCCAATTCCAGCGGGCCCCACCCTTCCCTTTTATTGAAATGTTACTGTAATTTACATAATCGTGTAATTTACATAAATGCAAATGATTCATTACATCCTCCGTCTCACAGCTGCCCTAAAAAGGAATACTTTATTTTTACCCTTCGTCTCTGCTTTGAGATTGCAGATTGTGGGCATTAAGAGAAGGGAAACCTCTTGGGAGAGCGGATAGGCCTCAGAGACAGGTTCTAGATCACTCCATTGGCTCACAAATCCAGACTCAGGAGGCCACCTACCTGGAGAAGGGCCCGGTAAGCACTTGGCAGCAGCTGGGGGGGCCCTTGGGGCAACTGAGCATGGGCACGTGGGGTGAGGCCCATCCGAGGTAACGCTTCCCTCTCTTCTGACTGCAAGCCCCTGTCCCAAGGGGATTTTGTGGGGACACAGAGAGACCACTTAGCTGACCAAGCCGCCAGAGATGGCCTGGGAAGCACTGTCCAGGAGTGTAGTCACGGGCCACAGGTTGTTCTTGAGCTCTTGGTTTGCAATTAAGGAGACCAAGGAACTGAATTTTAACTTCAATCAATTTAAATGTATGTAGCCACATGCGGCTAGTGCTTATCATACCGGATAGCACAGTCGTAGCGAGCAAATCCATCCGTAGAAAGTATATGCACATTCTCACAGGCATTCCTAAGTTTTTTTCTTTTTAAATCTAAGTTTATTTATTATTTTGAGAGAGACAGAGCAAGTGGGGCAGGGTCAGAGAGCAAGAGAGAGAGTGATTCCCAACCAGGCTCTGCAGTATCAACACAGAGCCCAATGCAGGGCTCGAACCCATGAACCATAAAATCATGACCTGAGCCAAAACCAAGAGTTGGACGCTTGGCCAACTGAGCCACCCAGGCTCCCCCTTCCCTAAGTTTTAACAAGCATAGACTCAATACTGCAAGACCGAGTGCTGGGTCTGTCAATGGAGGATTTCTAGTTCAGTACTCACGACTATGCAGGCC